TCATTACTAGTTACTCCTTTCAAAAGTAATATTGTTACTTTACTTATTACTTTCTGGCAACAGTAATTAGTTACACTACTAGTTACATTACTTTTTCTTCACGCCCCACAGAAGTTGTAACTGTGTATCTTCCACATAAAATTCCTCTAGAATGTTACTAACAACATAATTCTGCCTCATCATTTGACCAAAATCCACATTGGATCGCACTCAGAAGTTATTACAAACACTCTATAGTGATTGATAGTGACATTCAAGTAGAAGTAGATGTGTAGCTTGAAGCTAATTGTAATTTCTCTGTTAATCATATACGATTATATTTCATTATGTATTTTGTCAAATCACATAAGGGGACATCACATGCATGAGCGAGTCGAGAAAATTATAAAAATAAATCTAGGAATTATTTGATTGATGGATTTTAAATCAGCGGGGTCGAGGCATCTAAAGTAACTAAGTAACTAAGCTGTTTTATGGATGGCAACTGTAATATTATTACTGGAATCTTATTAGTAATTAGTTACACTAAATTATTTAATGTATGTTTAAATAAATCTGTTATGAGAAAAAGTGATGACGGCCTTCAGTTTGAATTCTCATACTATGGGTTTGAAATGAGCTTACATAATTAAAGGAATGTTCTGAGTAATCTCTGTTGACAGCATTTGATTACCATTGTGTGTGACAACAAACAAAAATCGCATCTAAAGTAATGAACTTTAGAAATGGAAGTCTATGTGGAATTCTAACAGCAACTGGGGGCCTTCAAAGAAGCTGGTGCCCCGGGCCTCCCAGGACCAAATCCAAGCTTAAACAGGAGGCAGGCTAGACATAATGACTGAGAAAATGAGCGTCACATCATGGGTTTTGAGAGCTAGCATATGTTGCACTGCATGATAAACTTTATTTGTACCTCATCACAGCAGATGACTGCACTGAATGACAGAACCAACAGCCAAAACGCTTGGTCTCCAGATGCCGTTTCATTTGAAACTTTTAGACTTGGCTCGCAGCTATCCACATGCGTACAACAGATCTGTGTTTGTGCCGCTTTTAAACAACGCCAATGAATTCAGAAATTCGAGAAGCCTCAAAGGTCAAGCTTAAAGAGAGGCTGAGTGCTTTCAGAAGAGACCCCACTGCTCTTTTTTCATACAATGCTGTTCATCAGTAGCAGTTTCTCTCTCTTTTTTTTACAGAAGGCAAACAAAGAAGCAAACATCTTATTAAAGAGAGCGATGGGAAGTGGGAGGGAGCGGAATAGAGGAATTTGTTTGCCCCATCCTGGACCCTACTTTTTCCACGCAATCCACCCTGTGTGAAACCAATTTGTGTTTGTCAAATGAGCAATACACATAAAGCCACTGAAATGCAGCTGTGTACCAGAGAATCAGCGCATGTGTGTTAAGCACAGTGAAGCAGTCTCACAGCGCATCTGAGAATAAACAAACAGCAGAAATGCAGTGCTACGAGTGTTTAATTGCAGAAGGCAGTTTATAAAATTAGTCTGCAGGGACACAAACGACATGAGATGAATGATGATGGGGTCCATTATTTCAGTTCAGTTCGCAAAGTTTGAGTGACACCATTAGAAAAACTTCTAATGTTCTTCTAATTTCAAATGTTTCTTTTAGACTCCAATGAGGTTATATGGTGAGTAATGGAGATTCTGTGCAGGGTTGTCAGGTTTTCACAACAAAACCTGTCCAATCGCTACTCAAAACTACCCCAATCGCGTTTCGAGGGGGATCCCCTGTTAAAAAATAGCATTTTGGGGAGTAAAATCCACGTTTTTTGGTGGGGGTTCCCTGGTAAAATTCGCACTCTAGGGGCTAAATATCACGTTATTGGGGTCGCTTCAACCCGTGGACATGAAAAACAACCCGCAGCAACAATGTTAAAGTAACCCAATTCCGAGGGAAAACCACAGACTTGGCAACACTGCTTCTGTGGCTTCTCAAATTTGCCTTGTGAGACGCCAATGATATCTAGCATTATGCAAATCAGTTAACAGTGCAAATTTGAGAAACAAGAAAGACACATTCAACAGAATTCTACAATTTCTATTTCTATACAATTTCTAGAGTTACTTCCAATTTTGCCATCTCATGAGGTTGGTGTCACGTGTGTGTTCCTGTTTAGTTCCTGTTTGTCCTTATTTGGTCTTTCCAGTTCCTTTTCCCATTATTAGTAATCACCTGTTCCTTGTTATTAGTTATCCTCATGACCTGTCTGCCCCTCGTTATCTGCCCTATTTGAGTTTGAGCCCATTCTGTTCTCCCGTGTCTGGAATTGTTCATGTCAACCTTGCTACGTGTGTTTTTCTGTTTCCTTTTGATTATTAAAATTAGTAAAATTCTCCTACATCTCCTCGCTCCTTTGCTCCACGCTCCTACACAGCAGCAGTTCCGTGACAGAATTCCAGACCGACAAAAGTGAACGGTGCCTTTCCTCCCCGTGTTTCTTTTCCGTTTTTGAAAAGTTTTTTTGTTTCTCTGTTTTTTCCCTGGCGGCAATGGAAACCGCCGCATGATTTTCGGCCCTAGCCCGCAGAGATCTCCCGTTTGAGGATTATTCACGGGAGTCCGTATCCAAGAGTATACGGCTTTGGACAACGCCACACTCAACTCGCTGTTCTGGATCGGGGCTAATTACTATCGCCCCGTGGACCTCCCAGACACCACTGGACTTTGCTGGAGGGAAGGGATCCTCCGGTGTCTGGAGAGCGTCCGGCCCCAATCCAGAACCAGCTCGCTGTCAAGACCGCCGGCTGCCGCTGACTGAGCAGTCCTGGACATGGCGCTGCCTCCGGAGTTCTCAGCTCCTGTCCTCGCCCCGGAATCATTCTCCTTCGTTTCCGCTGGTCCCGTCCAGCCCTCCTTCATCACCGGATTCCCCCGAGTTAACCAGCCTTGCACCTCCAGAGCGCCCTCCAGTGTCCGCTCCTTGTAAGCGCCATCCAGAGCCGGCTCCTTGAAAGCGCCTTCCAGTGCCCGCCCCTCCAGTGTCCGCTCCTCGTAAGCGCCATCCAGAGCCGGCTCCTTGAAAGCGCCTTCCAGTGCCCGCCCCTCCAGAGCGCCCTCCAGTGTCCGCTCCTCCAGAGCGCCCTCCAGATCCGGCTCCTCCAGAGCGCCCCCCAGGATTCATAGTTTTCCCCAAGAAAATTTTTTTGGGGGGGCCATATACCCATGGCCAAGCCAGCTAAGGCCACAGAGGATCCGCCATGGCCTCCTGAGTCTCCTGATCCGCCATGGCCTCCTGAGCTGCCAGCTCCGCCATGGCCCCCTGAACTCCCTGATCCGCCATGGCTTCCCGAACTATCTGCTCTGCCATGGCCCCCTGAACTCCCAGATCCTCGCCTGCCCCCCCTCCCTGATGGTACTGTTACGGCGCGGGACGCGCCTTCCGGGAGGGGGGCGATATCTATCACGTGTGTGTGTTCATGTTTAGTTCCTGTTTGTCCTTATTTGGTCCTTCCAGTTCCTTTTCCCAATATTAGTAATCACCTGTTCCTTGTTATTAGTTATTCTTATCACCTGTCTGCCCCTCGTTATCTGCCCTATTGAGTTTGAGCCCGTTCTGTTCTCCCTTGTCTGGAATTGTTCATGTCAATCTTGCTACGTGTGTTTTTCTGTTTCCTTTTGATTATTAAAATTCTCCTCGCTCCTTTGCTCCGCACTCCTACACAGCAGCAGTTCCGTGACAGTTGGACAATGAGAAATCAAATGAGGGAATTCGTTAACAATGACAATTGGCTGTCTGTGTTGTTTCAACGCACAATTCTCTAAAGGAATTATGCAAATCAGTTAATAGTGCAAAGTTCAAGATTCGTGATATCTTGTACAGAAAGACACAATCAACAAAATTCCATGACATTTCGTAAAATCTAATAATTTCAGCAAGTTCGCAAAACCATATAATTCATATGACTTTTGAAAGTTTTTTTTGCCCCTATAACAAACAATCATGGGTAGCTTTTATGGGTTGGGCTTGATGTTTTTGTTTGGGTCTTACATTTTTTCACGACCCAAGTCTTAAGTTTACTTCTGATTTTGCCTTATAGAAATGATGACTTCTCATGACCAGGTTGGACAATCAGAAATTTACTTGCGGTCTGCATTGTTTTAGTGAAAGATTCACTTAAGGAATTATGCAAATCAGGGAATAGTGTATTCAAGATACATGATTGCATTCCATGACAACTCGTAAAATCTCATAATTTGTACAAGCTTGTGAAATTATAATATATTGCACAACTTTAATACATTTTTTTTTCCTACAACAATCATGGGTAGATTTACAGGTTAGGCTTAATGCTTAGGTTTTGGTTTGGGTCTTGTGTTTTTTGCACAACCCAAGTTGTATGTTTTGCCATTTCGTACAAATGATTTTGAGTTCTCATCAGACCAGGTTGGACATGTTCTATGTGCGATACTTGAGTTCAATATTTTGTATAGCCTATCTATTTTTATTTCTTTCTTTTTTTAAATTGAAAATTTTACTTTTTCATTTACGTCATGATACTTAAAACAAAATATACCGAGAGCTCCATTAGATCACCTGAGCTGTAAAAGACCAACATCTGAGCAGTAAAAGTTTCCACTTTTACATTCATTCAACAACCCGGTGATTGTAAAGATGCTAGCTGTCACTTTGAACTGAGGAAAGCTTGTGAGTTGAGATGTAAAAACAGAATTTAACCTTGATGTTCCACTAAATCAGCTTGATTTTTTAGTCCCTGGAGAATGTCTATACATTTTGTCACATGAACTGAAAATGACCTAAAGGTCAGATAGCTTCATGTCGTTATGATGATGTTTGGGTTGGTGAGGATGAGGAAGGCCACAAATGTCATGAGGCACTTAAACAGTAAGTAGTTCCTGTGGTGAGCAAATCAGCATGGAGTAAAAGCAGGCTCCTCCGGTAGTCCGTTCACACAGGGTCCGCTGGGAATCGGTAGCCAGTGCTTCAGACGGTTTCCTCTTTGCATCTGTTGCCCTTTTCCCTTGTGGCTGTTTTGCTAAGTGGAAAGTTGCTGCAGAAATTTGAAGACCTGCCAGACAGAGAATTCATGTTTCTGTTAAAATGTACGTGCATTTGTGTGCGTGTGTACTTGTCAATATTAAAACAGAACACATTGGAAATTGAGGTAAACATTGGCTCACCGAGGGACCACAAGCAGTGGAAAATAAGTGTTTTAGTTTTAATGAGGCCATTTGAAGCTACTGAATAAAATTATTCTGAAGTTTCTTCAAGTGATTTGGAAAGAGCCCCAGACATGCTTTTCCAATATGAAAAATATTGGAGAACGTCTAGATGCACTCCATCCAAGAAGGTCTGATATTACCTGGAGATCTATCCATTATCATTCCCATTTATTTTAATGGCAGATGCATAATTCATATTTTACAAATATATATAGACTTCTGAACTGAGGTGGCAAAGTCAATTTGTAGTCTAAAGTAAATTCATAATCAAGATGCATTTGTTGTTTAGTCTATTTTGTTTCCTCTTGATGAAGAATAGCGATAAATAGTTGGTTTACGAGCTGACAGACTTGTGCAACCAATCTACATTTCCCATGATTCCCTCTGGCAGCAAAACATCAAGTACACAAAATGTGCATCCATTGCTCTTTATTGTGTTGTTTTAGTGCTAAAAGAGGAATATGAATTTGTCTGGAAAGTTCTGGCTAAAATCATCTGAACGGATGTGATTCACGTCACCCATATTTCCCTATTCGCCCTCACAAAAAGTTTTAAAGAACGAGATGGACAGACCACGGTGAGCAAGTCTCCTCTGTGTACTTGCTATGCAAATCATGTCCCAATCCATTTTAAAACTTTTTATTTAATATTTTTATTATTTTCCATTTCATGCTTTTGTTAATGCCTTAATATATCTTGGCCCCTTTGTGATGTCAGTTAATTTATTGCAATGTTCCCAATCCAACAGATGAATCATGTTGGACATTACTGAAGAATGCGTTGAATTAATCCAGGTGAACTAGGTCTCAAGTAACAATATATAGCATTATATATATAAATTCAGAACATGATTCATTCAAAAGGATTTTCATTTCAAAATAAAAATAGAAAAATAATGGGTTGGGGCAGTGGTGGCATCAATTTCCCTTCATTCTTTCATGCCCACTCTTGAGGTCACTTACTCATAATTCCTATACAGGTCATTCGCAGGGTCTTTTGGGGTCCCTAGGGGACAGCTATAGTGAGGGAGAGAGAAAGAGTCGACATGAAGTGCTGATTCTAATCTAAAGAGAAAGTTCAGAAGAAGCAGTACTTGAAAACAGTGAATGTCTGGTGATGTGATATTTTATTTATTTATATAAATTTTATATAATATAGTATAATATAATATATTAATTAGGGCTGCAACAACTAATCGATAAAATCGATTATTATCGATTACGAAAATCATCGACAACGATTCTCATTATCGGTTA